AACAAAATCCAAAGTAATTACATAACATCACCACTATTACGGCAACAGAAAGCTCAGGCAAGCCCTTGAGGATACTGAACGATGATGGCAAATCGTGTCCGTAATGCTCGGCACTGAATACATGGTACCCATTAAATCAAACTGAAATCCATTATAGTAACCCCTGATATGCAAATCGGGTATGCATACCATTTAATAAACCCATATATTCATTTTTATAATATAGAAAGCCAATGGCTTTGCCGTAATTGAGCTACATTTATATGATTTTGACCATTTGCGTATTTAGCAAAATCAAGATTCGTTCCTTGGACAATATTTCATTGTTAACGTATTGCCCATACCCCTATTTAAGATTGATATCTTAACGTGTTGAAATGTTTCACGCAAGGTACAACACACAACATCTGAAATGACGATAATTAATGCGTGTTTAAAATATTAAGAAATGGGTACCATGTATAACAGGCAGTTTTGTGCAAATTACCGGATTATACCAGCAACAAACCTCGACAAGTTCTAGCCAGTGAAAATCTCAGTAATGTTATTTTTTTCTCTGACTAATAAAAACTCATTTTTTAGGAAATCTGTGTACGTTGTCCATCTGTCCACTGTGTAAGAAGGTATACTGTGAAGTATTGATATATTAAAAGCCATCTGAAAGTTTTAGAAACCGCAAAATATATTTATCCCAAGAAATACTACGTCGAGGACATGACTGTGAAGTATAATAACGGAGGCGCAACAATAGAAGGTTAGAGCGATTTAAATAGGTTTTAATGAGAACCGGCAAATTATATATATATATATATATATATATATATATATATATATATATATATATATATATATATATATATATATATTGCACGAAATATACATATATCCAAATATTAATCAAATGCGAGTAACAGTAAGTCTTTTGGTTTAATATTACAATAAACGCAGTAGTACTGAAAATTACATACGGTTTGGCAAAGGTTTGTTGTCTATTGCATAAACCACAGTTGATTCTGTGTACAATCACATTGCACATGACAAATCTGGCATAAAAGAATTCGTAGTTTTTTTAAGCAGCGCGGCTTTAAATTGAAGTTATAATCCTTTCCAAAAACAAATGTTTCGAAAGTCGGAGGCTGGATGAAACTGGAAATTTATCATATGATGATCTGCGCAGGCAAAGAATAGCGTTGTTTCTTGTGCAAATGATTCGTCGAGATCTCGGTACCACTGCCATCGACAATCTTGATTTGTTAATCCTCATAGCAGGGAAGGGCATGAATTATTTCTGTGGTAAAACAAGCTTAAATAAGAAGACTAGAGGGTAAAGTGCCAGGGACATTTTGGAGTAAAATTCCCATTTTGGACAATCTGTTGTTTGAGGTAGTAGTAGCAGAGTTGAGTAATAAAATTAATATGAGAGAATGATACAAACCAAGGCAAAGTTCTTTTACAACATGTGCGACTGCTTCCTGAAGGTGCTTTACATAAAAGAAGAGATTACCTATTTTTACCTGTCGCTCATCTTATTTACATGTCGAGGGTAAATACTATATTGATCATGTATGCTAAGTAGTTCATGTATTACTACGTGGATGTCAAAATTATATTGTGCTAATCATCAGGAAACTGTTGTTCCGCATTTATTATTTTAACCTTTTTATTAATCTTTTACAATTGCACATGCACGTTTTTGCCACTGCAATATTTGACACCCCATGGAGATCATTCCATGACAAAACTGCGGTGAGATGTTGCATTTTCAATGACGCGTCGATTCCGGGTCAGTTTTTTTTTTTTTTTTTTTAACAATACAGTGACTATGCATTAATAATTACTAGAGCTTAATATCTGAGCGCATCACGTGCTGTACATACCGAGGTGAAGAAAATGTTCACCTGGGGATGTAGGGGGCAGAACACCCCCATCAACCTTCGCCTCGGGCAGTGCTCAGAGGGCATGCCCAGTCAAGTGAGGTGCAGATAAGTTGGTTTATTGATTAAGAGATGTTGTACGATTACCACTGGGCTTTGGATAGTACGAATTCCCATAAAGTTTATTGAAAAATGGCGCGTCAGCCCGTTTAGTTGCGAAGATGTCGGGGACGTCATTAATCGATTTCAGACGTTTTTTGTGCAGTTTTTACGCGTTTTTGTTAGTCTGTTTCAGTGTGTTTTATCCCGTGATTTCCCTGGTATACTTCATGCCCTCCTCTGCTGCCGGGACTATGAAATCAGGATTGTCGATGGATATAGTACTCAGATCTCAACAATTCATTTGCACAAGAAACGCCCAAAATCGTTGAAATCAACGGATTTCCCACTGCAAAATATAAGTGTTTCGAAAGCAAGCCGCTATCCTGTTATCCATATTGACCTATGCATGCGTCTACAAATACAAGTCTTCCATTAACACTAAAATGTTTAAAATGTGTTTGATTTTAGTAAATCGACGTAAAATATAGGTGATAAAGATAATTCTATCAATGCTTTCAACACGGATCCATGGTTTAATCGTTCAGTAACTTTCATGATTTTATCACAGAGGTAAAAGCAAACATGAACACAATCTGACGTAAGCATTATCGTCAGTTAACATGGTCAGTAGTATGCCTTTTTCCCCTTATGTTCTCGTAGAGCGCATTTCCATTTTGGTAGAACTGAAACCCACGTAGTTATGTACATATATATTCTACTAATGCTTAGTGCATCTCGTGAATATAGACTATAGTGATATTGTTTGGCAGTGTTTGCTATTGAATATATGTGTGTGTGTGTGTGTGTGTGTGTTTATGTATGTATGTATGTATATTCATTTATGTATGTATGCATATATATGTGCATAGCTATATGTATATATGTATTCATATATGGTATGTTGAATTTACTTGACTTTGACAGAGAACATTAAATTATGATTCAAAGAGCGTTAGGTATCGTCTCTAAGTAAATTTTTACCATAATCCTCATAATTCACCTGCTGGCCATCATTTGCGGTAGATGTACACCAGGGACGTAAAACTCGGGCCAATTTTCCCTTCGGCTCCCATCTTGAGGGTCACCACAGGTTCATACTTGACATCGCAGGATTACATTTCCGAAAGTGCTATTTTGTACTTGTACGTAGTTTTATTTTGCTTATCGAATTTTAAATGGTGATTCTAATGGTGACAAATTCTATATGACGTTATTTTCCTTGGTGGCGATCACGATTCCACAGGCGAGTGACTCTTCTTGTGACTCTCGTAGGCCACTTGTGGACATCCAGGGAAGCAATTAACCCGCGACCATGAGTATGACACCCGTGGCCTGTGTCATCCATTGCATTAAAAAAAATAATAATAATAAAAAATAAAATAAAATAAAAAGATAAGATTGTAAGTGACAGTCTTAATAGACGAAGGACTGGCTTAATTACTCAGGTAAAACGGCCGACTAGAAGACTGAAATAGCAACTGGCCTGATAGTCTTTGTACGCCTAAATATTAGCAAATTTTCTTCACAAGCAATCTACTCATTTCAAGTCAAAAACATCTGGCATCGATATTGAGTGTCCATTGTAATAAGTTTCCATTTTCTGTAACCCTGCTGAGTTGCCATGTAGGGTAATGGTAGGCGATGACACCGGCACTGTTCGTAGAAAATAATTGTGGTAGAGTGGAAACGTATTCAGTGTCAAGTAGTGTTTTGTACAACTTTTTTCCCGTTATATTATTATTTTTCCCAGAGGAAACTTGTATCGCTAGTATTCTAAAGCTGAAGTCTAAAAGCGTCACAGATAACAATGATTATTTCTTTTATACAGATAATATTAATATTTTTGATGGCAACTACTGTTCATAACTACTAATGGCATGGCACGTCAAAATACGCTGTCGTCTACGCCCTCGGAGTCGTTGCGGTGGGAAGGGCATCCGGCTTTTAAAAAAAAAAGTCGTAAGTACAGTGATGATAAAGAAATGAATAAAATATGCAAATATAAATAAGAGTGAAATAATAATCGTGAGTCAAACGTGCGAATAGACCGAGCCACCAAGAAGGAAACAAGGCATAATAGGAAATTGGTCGTTAGTTTGTTTTCGAGAGCCTGTACTTGACACGAATACAGACTGCAATTTCGCCGGGTGATTTTTGCAATACCCGGATTTCCTGTAGTTAAATTTGCATCATAGGCAAGATCTTTTAATTTTGATGTCGATATCTGCTGTTTGAAATTAATTGGTTGACAAGGAACTTGACATATCCGTATTTTCTCTTCTCGGTGAACTGACATCTGATTAAACTTTTCATACTTGAATTGTGACTAGAAGGATAATTTACAAATTACAACTATATATATTTTCTTATATCGAGTAAATGTAAAATATCAATTTGTGATGATTTACACCATCGTCTATATTCTTCTTTAAAACGAAAAGGCAATTAGATATAAGAAAAGAAAATCTGGCTTCATGAGATCTTTTATAATTCCCACCAAAGAGACGAAAAGATACAAGAATAGTAGACAGGTCCTGTCTGTTACTTAATGCGGGCCTGCGGGGACTATTGCAGCCCTTTTGCGCTCGGAAACCCCGCATTGCGAAAAATGACGTCATTGGGACGAATATTCGCCGTATGCAAGCTTTTTGATAGGCGTCGCCTCACTCTGCAATATGCCTTTGGCCCGGCACATAGAGTGGTGGGCCGATAGCGAATAAAAAGCGTAACAGCATTTTTCCGCTTTGGTGTTGTGCAATAAAGTTACGTTATATATGGTGGTGTTGCAATACGGTCACGTTCGTAACTTTACGTGGTTTGAAAAGTGTGTGTGTTTATGGCGAGCTTCCCCTAACATCTACATAATTCGCGTCAGCTTCTTACATAAGGGCGATCAGCATTGGGTCTATTTTAAGTTCATAGGTCTTGTTAAAACTCCTGTACGTATATGTATTGACATAGAAGTGCAAATACGTGTGGGTGTGGGGGTGTGTTGTATATCGACTGAATTATAATTTTTCAAAA